ACCTGCTCAGCTTCTGTGAGATTTCAGAGGCAGACTTTTGCCAGAGGCACCCCTAATTTAAATCCTACATCTGTCTCTTTGGGACTCTTCTTCCTCGTGTTTTGCATGACTCAGAACCCATGCCTTGTCAACAACAAATGCAACATTTGTTATCAAAAATCTAATGTTTTTGTTTCAATTAAGGGTTTAAGTCTTAAAAGATGGAAAAAGCCCATAGTTAATGACATTTTTCTTAGGCAATAATGCTACCCTAGTTTCCCAACATGCTGTTATAACTAAACAACTATGTTATAACTAAGTCTTTCTTAAGCTGGCTATTAAAATCCTAATAACCCAGTTTGACTGTGTCTCAGAGGAGCAGTTCATCACTGATGAGGTCATTGTGGAAGCCAGAGAAGCTACTGAGGAAGATTTGCTGGTTGTTCACAGCAAACGCTACCTCAACAAACTGAAGGTAACACTGGTCCTTTTGTCTGTTTTTGTCTGAGCAGCTTTTGCTTTCCGCATTTAAAAAAAAACTTCCTTTCAAACAACACTGCAGTTTTAGAAAGTTCTAAAGCTCATCACATGTTTCTACGTCAAAACACTTGTTTTAATTTGACACTATTCAAATACATTAAAGTGAATTGATTAGCTTTTTTTTTTTTGTGTCCAGATATTCTGAGTGGCATTTTCACTGTTCCAAAACTAATAAAATACAGTTGATACAACACACAGTGACAACTGCCTGAAATAAAATTGGAGCGATCTAAAGTTTAAAATGAAAACACTTTTTGGAACTGCTTTGTTTGTTTTTATGTTTGAGTTGTTTATAGATGACAACAATTTGTTCCTTCCCAGTTCCCATTTCTAAAAAGGACCTGACTTGGTTCCCCCATCAGGAGTCCTGAGAAAAAACTTAATTATTCCTCATCTTTCATATTAGTTTTTCACAGATCATACTGTTAAGATGCATTGTGTTTCTTTGCAGTGGTCTCTTGTGGTGGCAACTATCACAGAAATCCCTCCTCTCCTTTTTCTGCCTAATTTCCTGGTGCAGCGGAGGGTGTTAAGGCCTTTAAGGACACAAACAGGAGGCACAATAATGGTACATATAAAACATTCTAACTTTTGTTTCTTCATATTGTTCATGGCGGATAATGTTCAGAATTTTTGTGTATCTTCCTGCTATTAGTGCTCAAGAGTTGTTTCACTCTGACACAATCCATTGCGTTTTCCAAAACATGTTCAAAGATCCACCGTCACAGTTTGAGACAATTTAGAATTTCTTCACATCCCAGCAAAGCATTTCAAACAAGTAGCTAATTTCTCACATGAGATGTTTTTTGATACTGTAAGTAACACACAATTGTTTAGTTAAAGCTCTTTACTCTGCTAAAATCTGACTGTTCTGACTCTAAGGCCATATATCCAAAGAGAGCTTCAGATAGGTCTCTGTTTATTCATTGGAGTTGAATGAAAAATTGTGTCACCCATTAACCTCTCATCCATGTATGTACTTTTATTTTCTGTGTTAAAAACAGCATTGTCCACTCCTTTTAGTGTTCTTGTCATACATTTGTTGCTGCACTTGTTTTCTGCACATGAAAGTGGTTTAAGAGACAGATAACTAAATCAGATTGTCACAATTATGAGCAAGATTTTTTCAAGTTTCTTTGCATCCACATAATGTATTTACAAATGATATAAGATCTGTTGTCTTGCTAAATGTTCAATTTATTCATTTCAAGTCCTTGTTTCCCTCAGACAGAGTGTAGTGTTAGAACCAGGCCCAGAGTGTAACATACCTTCTAATAAGTGTTATTATTCATCCTCCAGAGAGCCAGATTGGCATTTAAGCTCAGCTTTCACAGCTTGTATCTCTTTCCATCAGCTCCTCTACTCACTTGGCAACTGGGGAACATGGCACACAAGAAACATTTTTCATTCAAAAGGGAAATCCTGAATCGTCTTGACCACAGAAGCATTCACTCTGTAATATTTGATCTGAAAACACTGGATCCATCAGTTACTGAGGACCAGGTGGTGGCTTGAAGGTTGACTGGTTACTTTCAGAACAAAGTGTATTTTTTAGGAAGTGTTTTAGATAAACTTTCAGCACTTTCAAGGAGCCCCACATACCGTCTTCGTCCTACGTTGTCATGCACATCATAATTAAAGCGATGCATGTTGTAGTGGGACTATCAGAACTAAATTAGTCCCTGAGGGAAGGACATAGCACGTCAGTCCAAAGAGGAAACATGAATCCATTACTGCTTGAAGGTTTTTATTTTGACGCTTCCCTAGAACACACTTTGTGACATAATTGTGAATGGACTTGCAAGATGGAAAATAGCGTACAGGTCAACTTTAGTGGTCACTTTGGTGGTCAACAGAAAATATCGGAACCCTTCATCTACAAAACAAGAACCATAGGCAGACAGGTGATATTTATTAGGCAGTCTTCCAAAACCCAGCCACACACACACACACACATATCCAGACACACTCACTCCCCATTGTGACAAGTGCTAAACACATCCCTGCCTCTACACATGTTTAGGAAAATGATTAAACGTTCAGTTACAGTATATAAGATATCCCAAAGGTCCTTGAAAAGAGATGACTCTTGTTCAACTACAGTAATTTTAGTCTCTTTTTTTATTTTGCAAAGGAACTTCTGGAGTTTAAGCATAATGCCCCAGATCTTGATCTTTAATCAGTGGTCATCAATCTCTAACAGGATTTGTAAGACTCAGATATTTCCCAGAATCCTTGTTGGGTAAGAAGTTGTTGGGTGAGGGATCTTTAATGAGTTAAAAGAAGGTTACAGGACATGAACTGGAAAACCTTATGCTTGGCAGAGAACAATGTAAAGAAAATTGAGAAATATTCAGTATAACTGGCAGGTTGATCATGTTTGCAGGACATAAAATCCTGAAAGACTTAAGAGACAGAAGGTGTGAAGAGATAATCCTGACTGGTTGATTTACCAGGAGTTATGTCTGTCATAGTGAAACTTCAACCATTAAAAGAGGAAAAGCTGGGACTGCTTCACAAACACACTTGAGGGTTAAGTCTTTGTATGAATGAAAAGCTTTTTTTAAATTTTATTTAAGACAACTTTGATTATTAGGGAGATTTTCAGGATGGATTTGTTTTCTCGCTGCTTTTTCTAGATGGACTTGTTCTATTAGTTTGGTACTGTTTGGCCACAGTGTGGCACATACTCTGTAGTTGGTGAGCTCAGATTTAGCAGTTGCAGTCTCATTAATACGGCCTCCCTGTGACATGAGTAATTTACAAAGCTGTAAAAAGTTAATCCAGCTGCACTGTAAATTAAGGTACGCCTAGTAAATGAAAAAGTTTCAGTCGATTATTTATCAGTTAACTGCAAGAGTTCAAGAAGATTTGAAGAAGTTATTTTCTACTTTAGAAAGCGCCAGTGCAGCTCTTTCCCTGTGTGTGTGTGTGTGTGTGTGTGTGTGTGTGTGTGTGTTGTGGTTGTGCTGATCTCTGCTTAACACACAGCCATGATTCAGATATTCATCTTCTCATATCTTAGAGAGAATCAAGGAATAGCTCACCATAACTGTTTCTCAGGCATTTGTTTGATTTTCCCCGTGAGGTTTTTGACAGTGAGGTCACGGTGGGGTCCGATATTTCATCCCAGGCTGTTGTGACGCCTCTATGATGGACACATCAGTTATCTGAAAGCCCTCTACTTTTAATAACACACTGCCGGTGAGATGTCAGGAGAGCAGAGTGATTTGCAAAGTAAAGTTCAAACTATGAAAGGGCACAGAAATGGAAAATCTATTTTCAGTGAGCTCTAAGAATAACATTTGCTTTGGTAGTTTCAGTTAACCATCAATTTGAAATGTCTGGAAAATATATTCTGTTATTGCAGCCCTTTATTGTGTGGATTTATAGTAACTTTTCTTTCATTAAAAGCAGTGTGGCCTCACTCATGCATGTGGAGACATCCTGTTTCAGCTGAAATAATGTGTCTTCCATAGGCCGGAAAGCTGGCGGTGGATCGAGGGTGGGCAATAAATGTAGGTAAGTACATCTGCAGCTGACATTTTTTCAAACTTCTAAATAGGATGGTGGTTCACCACTTTTGTGAATTTCCACCCTTATTTCCTGCAAATTACATTTATACATCATACCGAAATACTTATTCGGTATTCTTTTGGCCTCCAGCCAGCAGAAGCATGCAGATTTTTGTGAAAAGTGCACCACCACTGTCTATCCATGCCAAACCAAACCAAACATCAGCGACCTACACACTTACTGAACAGAATGGAAGAGCCCATAAGGGTGGATATTCTCTTTCGTGCTCAAAATGGAGCTAAGGTGGAGGAGTCAAGTGTGAATATTGGAGATTGTCAGTTTAAATTTAAAATCATCAGATTACACAAACAAGAAAAAACATGTGATTTTAATTGAGTTATTGGTATTTACTTTGTTATTTCTGCTAGTGTGCCTATCAAACCTAGTGTGCCATATACAAACTTATTTTCCAAAAATGTAGTTAATTTTCTCAAAAAAGACAAAAAGAATCATGATTATTACCATGATTATTCTTTCTAAATTTAGTTTTAGAGAAATCTGTGTTTCACAAAACAACTTCAGGGTAATTTTAGAAAATGTCAAGTAAGTAAGGCAAGTAAGAATTTGATGCCAACATGCTCAAAAAGTTGGAAGGTAGGTAAAGGAAGACAGAGCGTTCAACTCCAACTTTCACAGATTTCGATGAGGATAACCACTGTTGTTCAGATTATGATGCTGGGTATTTCCATTTTAGTAAACTGCTCACAGGTGAACACAGCACAAATTGTGGCAGAAAAGTGGCAACTGGTGATTACTATGCCAGAAAAAAAGCATTAAAAAAAAGAGCCAGTCCAGTAGTACAGTGCTCCAAAGAGTCAAACCACTATTGATACACCCTAAATGTCTGACCAAACAGAAGAAAGAAACCAAACAGGGGGCGCTAAGCTGTGCCACTTGAAGGAGAAACTTGTTTTTTTCCCCTTTCAAATACTCCAGTAATGATAGAAAAAAGTGTTTTACAGAAACCGGGGTGTAGATAATGTAATGGAATTAAAGAATTGAGCTTTGCATTGTTTATTTCATATTTATTGAACATTAAAGAGTAATTTAATTGAATTAACTGACAAAGGTAAAATAGGAGCTTTGCTACACATACAGTGTTTTTTTTTTATGTCACACGTGTTTTTAAAATGGCTTGAAGGTAAAGTGTGACAGGAGATGATGTTAGTTGGACTTCTCCATATACCTCTTCTTCTTCTTCAGTCCTGGGAGGTTGAGTTTCCTCCACACTGAGAGTTTGTTGCTTTTAGTCAGCACACTCTCCTGTGGGCAGCAGTCCTCTGTTAGTGGCTCAGGGGCCGGTGAGTCGGGGCAAGAGTCCATTTCCAGGTCCAGCAGCTCTGGGGCTCCCTGCCCGGGGCTCTGAGGCTGCGGGTCTTTGGTGGTGCTGGTCCTCCCCTCACAGACCTGGTTCTGCTGCTCCTGCGGGTTGCCAGTGGCAGCTCTCAGTTTCCTGATGAGGAGCAGATCTGCCAAGGCCCTCTCGGCATGAAATCTGTCCTGCTGCTTCATGTGTCTCTGAATTTGCTCAAGTTGCTGTTGAGTAGTTGCGTTCTTCTCTTTTTTCGCCTGGTATGCAGCTCTCAATGCTTCCAATTCATTTTGGGCTTTCATGTTATTCACAATGTTTGAGATATTTTGTGAACTTTGTTGCTCTGCATCTTCTTTGACCTGTAGCAGCTCCATGAGCTGACTTATAGTGTCAAACAGTTCTTTCTGTATCTTGTTCAGTTGCATGTGTAACAGCTTTTCTTCATCAGGACTTACTGTCAGTGCCGTTTGAGTCTCATTCAGTCTTTGTTGAAGCGTGGCACTTTCACTCCTGGCGCTCTGCAGAGCTCTGTTCATCTCCTCCATCTTCAGCTGGAGCTGCTGTGCGTCTGCGTTCTGGCTCTCCAGCAGTGCAGCCAGCTCGCTGGCCTTTTCCTCCTGGCTCTTGACGCGAGTCTTGGCGCTTTGGAGTTGAACTTTCAGCCCCTCCACCTGTGAAAGCAGGGCCTTTTTCTCGGTGTCATAGCTCTGGAGCAGCTTCGCTAGTTTGTAGGGAGCCACATGCCTCTGGCTGTCCGTATCAGGCTTCATATCCCCCATTACTGCAGGTAGATCCAGCTTTGTTGTTTCACTCAGATGAGCAGCTGTTGTGTCTGTCAGGCCTCAAGAGTTTTGTTTGCATATGATTCGTTTCCATAGAAACTGCTGCGTTTTAAACTGTCCACACAATCTCTGCAGTACTGTCTGTGTTCTAAATTATTTTTTAAAAACAGTATGCTAGAAAACATAAAGGAAGGAAAGCAATAATAGACCAACTTTTGGTCTAAAGTATTGAATCAGTAAAATAAATTAATTACTAATGACAAAGGAACAGTTTTTACAAAACTGTTATTTTTGTTGCCATAACAACCATGAGCATGAATGCACTAAGGCTGTTACACACTCCGCGAAAAACCGAGAAATCTTGTTTTTTGAGGTGCTGAGGACAAGGTACATTTTATTTCCCGTTTATGTCCATCATCTCGGCTGGTTTACAGTGTGAATGCATATTTCGGCAAGCATGTACTTCTCGGAATAACTTCGGACTTCTAGAAAGGTCCACTCACTGACACCTACGTCACACCAGCGCTAAGTTTAGTTTTAATGTTCAAAAATCTTTATTTATACCGACGGAAATTGCTGTGCAACAATTGTGACTAAGATAGTGAACAATTATTTCAAGTGACCAGTGCAAAATGAAAGCAGTATTTTAAAGTACAACAAATAAGTAATAACAGAACAACCATGGACATGTATATGTCTATAAGTACTTCCGCAAGACAACCCCGCCCATAAAATATCTGACCAATCACACAACAGTTCTCCGACACCCTGCGAGAAAATAGTTCAGTTCTGCCTAGTGGGGGAAAAAAAGAAGATGCGTCAAAAACTGGTAGCAAGAACGACGTCATTTTGTTGTATGAGCAAAATACATCTCTGGCTTTTCGTGGAGTATATATATAACACTATTTAATTTACATTCCACTCATGTGAACGTGAATCAGAACTATTGCGGAGACTTTAATTCACTAATTCACTTCTCCCTTTTTCAAAAGCCTGAATAATTAGTGGCAAAACAGGTTTGAATGTCCAAACCAACTTAATAAAAAAGGCCTGATACTGGCACACCAGCACAGAATAAATAAATAGAAATTTTCTGTAAATGGTGTAGCCTTTATGTAAAAGGTGGCACTGTTTAACGGCACAATATAGTGCATCTTTTATCAGGAAAAGAACATGACCAGTTTATTAATCTAGCAAAAATCTTAAATGAAAAATGTAGTAGACAAATTTAATCCAAAACACAAACTCATGTGGAAAAGAGCAACTCCCGTTTAACAGGAACAAATTAGAAGTCTGTTTATGCATTTAGCAGACGCTTTTGTACAAAGTGACTTACAAAGTAAATTGGGTGGTCATCTAAGTTGACCAGTTAAGGAACAAAAAAGGAAAGGCAAGTTTTGTATAGCACAAAAGGAAAATAAAAACATTCAAACTTTTTTTTTAAATCAAATGAAATGCAAAGGATGCAGATCAAATACCTTCAGTTGTCACACACACAGCTATATAAACTGTGTTTAGCCTGGATTTAAACATTGTCGGAGTTGAGGCTATCCCACTACTTCAGAGGTTAGGAACAAAAAGCTGAAAAGCAGCCTCACCTTGAGCAGCAGCATTTCTGGATGTTCTGCAAATGTCTGGCAGCTTGCTCGGAGAGCCAAAACACAAACACAAGGTTGGTGACAACGGTTGAATAATTTTCCATGCAAAGACAGTGTAATGAGAAACCATTAGGAGATACTCAGCACTTCATGAGCGCTCCACCACCAAGGTAGGCTTACAGTAGTATAATTTAAAACAAATTTGAGAGTCACCTGAACCTTTGACAAATCTGACATAAGCTTCATTAAAAAAATATAAGTCTAATATGAAAGATGGAGAGGATCTCTGCTGTCCACGCAGACAGCTGCTTCTATAAAAGATAAATCCAATAAATGAATCCTCTATTTGTTGTTCAGCTCTTTGGCAAGTAACAGCCAAAATAAACACGCAGTCTGAGACTGAAACTATGTGGTCTGTAACAAACAGTGGATCTTGGTCTTTCAGAGCATTAAATGTTATATATGTCTGGGTTTCACAGTTAACAAACTGAAGCTAAAATGGGAGAAAATTGGTTAAATCTAAGCATATTTACAGGGAAAACATTTTCTACTTTAGTTGGCAAAGTATTCCTCATGTTAGAATTCCAGCTAGCGCTGTGCTAAATACTGTCAGCAATGTTTTAATATTTTAATGTTTGCTGTAGAATTTGAATAATTCTCATTTTTATCAAACCTGGTGTTCATGGTGTTGATGTTTTTTTTTCAGTGCATTGTATAAAAACTGTACGAGCCACCCTGTTTTCTTTTAAACAGGCAGCTAACAATTTAACCAGTTAAGTTGCTTTGTAAGGATCTGTATGCAAGAAATGCATAAAATATTAGAAACTGTCTGAAAATGAGGGTGTGGTTTTGATAAAAGAAAAAATCTGGTCGGAAAATTGTGGTGTTTCTGCACATTTCTGCTCCCCTTCTATGATGTGAATCCTCTCACTGTAAAAGCATTTGAGCTGGCTTCCTGCTAAACAGGCCTGCTCTTTGCTTCTGTTTACAATAACTGTCACAGATTCTGTTGTTTTTCGTTATTATAGGATGGATAGCTGAGGGGACATTAGGGTGATATTTCTTCTAATGTTGTGTTCCTTAAGATTGCCAATAATGTGTAAATGGTTAATACGGTTTTCTTGGTTAACTCGTGGTTCTGGCACTAACCTTTTACATTTTTCCAAAGTGGGCACCATACAACCGCTTTCTATTATTTTTTATTTCCATTCCAGTGTGTTGAATGTTGGCTTACTGGTTGATAGGTTGACAAATCCATGTAATGCATGTTGAGCTGCTGATTTATGTCTATGGATAGACCTTTTTCCTTTTTTGCTGGTTTGTTAAACAGCCCTGAACTGGCTTTATGCAATCATGAATTCACCAAAAACAAAGGGACTGATTGAACCATTTAAAAATGTTAAAATACACTTTTGTGTTAAGAAATAGACTTTTGTTCTTGGTTTTTATAACATTACTTGATATCTGATGTAAGTATTCCAATTTTCATAAATGTGTTAGTTCACATTAATTTCCAAACATATTAAAAATATGTTGCATACATTTAAATACCATCAGTGATTCTAACCTCCACTGTAGAATATCTATGTCTGTTGAACATAAAATTGATCAAATCTTTGCTCTTGGCTGGGGGAAGTGTTGTAAGTGTTGGTGTTACATTTCTTTTTTAACCATAAGTGACTTGGTTGATTGAGGTTTTTGACGGAGAAATGAGGGTAATTTATTTTGTGCCGAGCAGAGAAGATAAAAACTAGTGTGAAACTTTTTAGTTTGTACGTGCTCAGTTACCCAACTCCTCTTCCTGAAGAATCAGGGGAGAAGACAGTTCTGCTTCATTAAACATTATTTTAAAAAAGATAACAAGACTATTCAAATGGATTTTACATCAACGTATTTCCTGTCTTAACCCTGTCTTTAATAGGCTGTTTTGGGAAACTGGGAAAACAGTAATAATCATAATAACAATCTACTCAGAGCTGTAATTTAAAATATAGGAGCAATCGTGAGAAAATACAGAAATGAAATCCTCTCTTCCATGTCCACTGGTGCTTGTGTTGTATTTTAGTCCTAGATAAACAGTCCCATTATGGTGTTAGTATACCCGTTCATGCACCACTAGGGAAAAGAAAACACTTGATGAAATGAACAGCCCATTTGGAATAGTCAGTTAAGGGAGTTTTCGGTAATGACTTCTCGGATGAGCTCTGCTGGTGAGATGTTCCTGATGTTCCTGAGGCTGAACCTGTGTGTCCGTCTCCTGTTTTCCAGGGGGGGGCTTCCACCACTGCTCCAGTGACAGGGGAGGGGGCTTTTGTGCATACGCTGACATCACTCTGGCCATTAAGGTAAGACTCATAAAAACACCGGATGCTTTCCCATGAAAAGACAAGTCTGAATATGAGCTGTGATCCACCGTTTGATTAAAACAGAGAATCGATAGAAGCACAAATCCCCAATCTAGTTGTTTCAAAATCAAGTCCATTTATGGTGTCAATTCTTCACTGAACTGTCTCTGTCGGCGTTGTCAGAGACTTTTTCAACATGTGTTTGAGTGATTTATGAAATTCATGGATCTAGTAGCCACTATAATGGAAAAATTATGAGTTTTAAGACATCACAATTATTAGTTCAATTAATTTACGACTCACTCTTCAATTGAAAGTCACGGTCCACAACTACAATAAATAGACTAGTGAACGTCTACTCCTAAGCATTTTTCACTTAGATGATCCTAGTGGAGTTCCTAACAACTCTGCACTTTATTTGTTGATAATGTGGATCCATCAAAAGATGGAATAACTGCTTCTGTCAATTTTTCACTTACAAAATCACAAAATAACTTCCTGAATTGTTGGAGTGTGGAAATATTTAGTATAACCAGAAATATAATTTCAAGTCTGATACAAAATCTCTCTGTGACATCTTCAACCTCATGAGTGTGTCGTAAGAGGAAAACTAATCTTTTCTTCCCCATCCCATAGTTTCTTTTTGACAAAGTGGAAGGCATCTCCAAAGCTACCATCATCGATCTGGATGCTCATCAGGTGAGCCAGTGCATCCCCTCTCTCCTTATGAATGTACCCCTCAGCTTAAGAGGAGCCATTAATGAGGAGATATCTCTGCTTCAAACCAATCAACAAGGTTTTATGTGAGCAAAAGTAATCTCCACATTCGGTGGAATAATTATTAAAAAACAAATGAGACCACACAGGCTATGATTGATGATAAAATAGGAGCAGTGTCTTCACTTAACTTTGTGAGGTTAGATAGTGATACCACTTTGTATTGTTATTTTCACATTGCTGAAGTCTATTTTTTTTTTTTACATATTTGAAACATATGAGAAATTACTTTTGATTAGATATTATCCACTATTACAAAATTGTGTATATATATATATAAAATTACAAAATTGTGTGTGTATGTGTGTATGTATATATATATATATATATATATATATATATATATATATATATATACACAGTATATATATATATGCATTAAAGGGTTAGGGTTAGGGTTGTACATTACCAGTACGTACTTTAAAATCCATGTTTATTTAACAGGATGGTATCAAACGGCTGTTTTTTCGGGTTTTTTTTACATAACCATAAAGCGGTTTAAAGCTGTTGGCTTATTTGTTTGCTCACTGTAGGCCAAGCTTGAAAAACAGCAATGATGCTTGCAATGAGTGTTTAATTTTACGTCAGCATAATCCATTTACTCATTATTATAGTGCACCATTAAGGTACCAACATAGTTCAGAATGTGCTTTCTCTTCAGTATATGTCTTGTTTGTCACTGCAGGCTATCATTAATGGATTGATTTCAGTCTGGCCATAGTAAAACAGTCCGATCATATAATTTTAGTGTGACATTGTTTATACTAACTCACTATTTGCATTTACCACCAATTAGCCCTGAGAATTGTGTTAGCGTTGATGTTGTTTCCAGATTTCTAAGGTCTGTGGGTGTGTGCCAGGTTAAACTGGTGTATTGGAGCAATAATGCTCACTGACACAAGCAGGGAATCAGTAAAGATGCTGAGTGAATAATTCATGAAAACAAACCTCGTGCAAATCTGCATGAAGGCACTCTCGGCAGATAATTGGGCACAGAGAAGAATTCCAGGAATATTAATTGGATACTTAATAAAAACCCTGTGATACCCAAAGGTGTCCTCCAACAAATGGAGACTGGCTTTATTAGCCAGTCAAAAAAAACAGGTTTAAGCACATCAGAATAGGTTTTTCTGATATGTTGGAGACTTTCCCTAAGAAAATTCAGCACTCGGTAGTGTGGCTTCTGATTATCTGCTTTAAATCAATCAGCACCTCGTGGTTTTGCAAATGTCAGGAGAGATAGAAGATGAAAGATTACAGGGCTGAACCAGTTAAAACTATCCTCCACACTCTCAAGCAGGAACTCATTTGCATGTGTCGTGAAAAATCTATCAATTAGGAAACATAATCCAACATATACCATAAAAAGAAGCTGTGACAGTAAAGACTTTATTGTTTTATGTTGCTATTCTGGCTGACAACACCAATAAGAATACCATGTCATGCAGCATTTCTTTTTTCTTTTTCTGTGCCATTCGTGCTACAAACTTCATAAAGTGTGGGCTTATTTTTGGTTCACTGTTTTGATACTTTTTTAAAAAATACATTCTCGTGTCAAAACAGCAGACATGCCAGTCCTGTACCTGTACCCTTTCACACTCACTCATGACTTTATTATAAAGTGAGCAGACTGTTTGTTTGTTTTTCTGAAATAATGCTGCCATCTCAAAGGGTAAATTATTACACCAATATGGATTTAATTTCTACACCAAACTGTTTTCCATTTCTTCCAAAAAAGATCTGAAATATTGATCTTTAATCCTCTTTGGAAACGCTGTTGGATATAATTTGTTGTCAATTTGAGATCTTCTGAACATTTTTGCTCTTCTAAAACTAAACTTTTCATGGATACAGCTTTTGTACCAGATTACCCTTCTGGAAATAGCACAGCATTTTTTTTTATTTTTTATTTCATTACCAACATAATGTAATCTCAACTCGATCTGGTACGTGTTGATGGCCTGAAATGCAAAATCGTATAGATGTGTTATATCTATGTATGAATATGTATTTATTAAGAGGAATTGGTAAGAAAGGTTAATATAGGAATCACTTTAGAGTGTTTTAAATACTAGCTTTTTGAGATTTGACGTTATTTGTAAAAAGGCCATATACATAGGTACCAATAAATATTGGAACAACAAACTATAACCATACTTGACATCATAATTAATGAAAGAATTCAACCCCTAAGCGTTCTTAGATGTTTTGAGCATATGTGTAGTACTGTAGTATAAGACACTCTTGTTGTCATTCAATCTGAACTACTATAAATTAGAACAAAGAAACATCAGAGTGATCTAATAGCCAGTACTGTACTCGTTATCCACTTCCTGCGGTCGGTTTATTGTTAGTAGTAAGAGGCGGTTATAGAGTCAGTGTTTTATGTTTCAAATCGAAGTTATGGTTCTACTGTCTTATAATTGTATTTATTTACATAATAATTATTCATTTTATTTCGTTTTAGGGTAAATGAAATATTATTTGATTACATTTTGTAGGGAAATGGACATGAGCGTGACTTCCTGGATGAGAAGCGAGTATTCATTATGGATATGTATAATCGCTACATCTATCCTGGAGATGGATTTGCCAAAAGTGAGTGCTACCAAAATAAAAGTACCATCTTTTTTGTTTTCTGAGATTCCTTTCATTAGGTAAGATTCACTGAAAATAACTTATGTATTGCTATTTTGCCAGCAAATGACTGTGTAGTTCTCAGTGTAGTCTTATTTTCTGCTCCAAACTGAAGGTAAAGATTAAGCCAAGACTTCCTCACATCTCTGGTCAGAGGTTGAAATTGGACTGAAATAGTCTCCTTCTTCCTCCTCCATTCAATTGTCATCTAAATTATTCTGTGATTTCCCAAAGTACAAATACAAAATGTATTAGAATTCAGAATGATAGCTACTACACAGAAGCCCCTGAACCACCAGAACCACCAAAAGATATTTTAATGCCATTAATTGCTGTTGTGACATCTTTCTCTCTAACCTATACTGTAACATACAGGGAAAAGGAAATTCTTCCCATCCTTCAAAAATATTTTATTGAATGCACTTAATGATTCCCTCCCTTCTACCTAAAGAGTGTAAAATCACAGTATATTCTGGTTTGTTTAAGATAATCCACTGAGAGTCAGTGTGACGATTTTCGAGGAAAACACGTCCAGAAAAAGAGCTTTTTCATGAAAGTGTTCGTCAAACACAAACAGAAACTTAGTTTTACGTGCTTTACATGTGCTTTGCAGGTTTTCCAGTTTAATTCTATTTGAACTCTGAAACATGAAGGTCCCCTAATGAATCCTTTTCATCATTATAATTACTGTACATTGTAATTAAAGTGCAACTTGCAGGTTTACCATCTGAATGACTAAGTGTTAGAGCACGCAGAAAGAAGGGAGTTGGTCCTCAGTATATGAAGAGTAAAAATGTTTATATTAATTTAGCTTTATTAATGTAGTTGTTTTGGTTTTAGTTAGACAAGAAGATTCAAGATTTTCATAAACATACCAAAAAAGACAAACTTTAGGTCCTAAAAGCAAATCAAGAATGAGCGTCGATCAGCATTGAACAAAAAAAGAAAAAAAAGCGAAAGTACATGTGGAGATCTGTCAGAAAACCATATTTAGATAATAAATATGTATCACTTGTTTTGGCATCTGTGCTGTGTCATGTGAATGCATCATTTCTTGTTTTAATTCCATGTATCATCAGGAGCCATAAAGAGGAAGGTGGAGCTGGACTGGGGTACCGAGGACTCTGAGTATCTGCAGAAGGTTGAGCTGCACTCAGAGGGATCTCTGAATGAGCTCCATCCTGATATCATCGTTTACAACGCAGGGACGGACATCTTGGATGGAGACCCCCTGGGAGGACTCTGCATATCAGCCCAGGTACTTTGCCATCTCAAAGCCCTGCTTTTTTGTTGTTGTTTATTTCAGTTTTCCAGCCTTTACATAAGCAATCATGAATCTACATCCACCCCTCACAAAATGTACGCTTCTGTATATTTTGCTGTTGCAGTTTGCACCTTATCTAATGACACAAACGTGTCTCATTGAAGAATAAGAATTCTACATGATGGACGCCACAATTACAAATGTCTCCGACCGGAGTTCACAGGCACTCGTTCTCCGAGACTTTTCTGAGATTACACTGTCTGTTGCCAAAACTACTGGAGGAATTCTAGTTTTTTGTCGGTGTGATACTTTCTTCAGATACTTAAATATCACGAGAAAGAGAGTAAGAGTGGATACAAGTGGTTTGAAAGGAGAGTCAAGGAAAGGATGGCCTTATGGACTCAAAGAAAGCCACACAGTTTGACTGGTACTGAGTTGAGAACATCTTCACACAAAGAGGGCTAAGCATCAGAACTGACACCATATGGAAAGCCTCTCTAGGTATAGCACAATGTAATTAACTGCAGAATTGTATCTCTCTTTGCATTCAAAGAAACATTGTCCAGTCAGTGCAGATAATTGCTAATGTAAGATTTGAACATACCAGTTCCTTGTGTCAGGATCATAATATCAGTTCTTACCAGGAAAATGATTTGCTCAAAGTAGAATCACTAAGCTGTGCTGTAGTGATACGTATATACTGATATACAATGACTAATAGAGGAATACAGGTCACAGAATTTCAGCTTCCTGGAGTCAATAGAATCCTTCTTAAAATCTAGTTATAAAAGTTGTCTTTGGTGTACAGAAAACGGCTTGTACAGACTATAGGAACGGATACAATGTGGTCATTTCTGAGAAAATTAACACTGTTTTCAATTTGTGACTGGGTTGTTTGGGTTTTGCATTGTTAATCAGATTTGTTAGGAACGCTGATTGGTTTGCATTTGTTGGTATAGTTATTTGGATCCTGCTGCTGCCGGGGCTCAGGTTGGAGAAAAGAGCTGGTTGCTAAGCAGCATTCACCACAAAGTTCCTTTCAGTTCAGTCACTGCTTATGTGCCCAAAAAGTGGCAAGTATTTATTTTTTCATGCATGTCTTATTATGTCTTATTGCCCATTGCCTGTAAAACAGCAGGCTAATGAGGGTACTATCAGCACAGCTCACTTTTATTTTGACTAAAAGTTCCATGAAGCTTAAGTTCTTTTAAAGACCCAGTTTAGATGTGCGTGTGAAATCTCATGCATTGTGACTCGGTTCAAAATCTTCCTCCTTAATCTCCTTAATTCATTTATTTTTCACTCCAGCTTTTTACCCTCTTTATCCATTGAAAAACTGTGATGAGTATTTCTTTCCAGTACCTTGAATATCTCCAACAATTCTCAGTCAGACAATTTCCAGGCTTTTCCTGTGTCCCCAGGGTGGAAAGTGAGCGTAACCGAAATGAAAACCATGAAAGAGTGTCTCCTTTTCCTTCTTTCTCCCTGCCAGGGCATTATTAAGAGAGATGAGATTGTGTTCAAGGCAGCGAGGCGACGGGGAATTCCCATACTTATGGTGACATCCGGAGGATACCAAAAGAAAACGGCCCGGATCATTGCTGACTCCATCCTCAACCTACACCGACAGGGCCTGATAGGAGCCGAGGCAGTGGGGGAGGGGTCATCAGCCCTGGTCAAACACATGATGAGTGGCTCTGGATCCGCTGGGTCAACATTAAACTCTGTCTGAGGAGATAATACTCATAGGTGTGGCATTTAAAGGCTGAACAGTGAGGATATAGTGCCATTTGTGTTGTTACACAGAGAGATGCTATTCCATATTAATGGGGAATGCAAATAATCATATATTTACATTTTGTAAACTGATGCATTTTTTTAAGTTGAAGTTGGAATGATCACAGAGAAAAATTGTAATGGAATAATAGATTTCTGATGGCTACATTCATTTCTGTAATGTCTCTGCCACTAGCAGAATTTTCTTCAGTTTGAGAGAAATTAGTCTTTCTTTTAATGCAGTTTTAGTTCACATCTCAGGAAATTTAGCAATATAATTTATTAACCACATGATGAATAAAAAAATGTATATACTCACCTCTAAGGTGCTATTATATTATATATTATAACTATTGTGTCAGTTTTTGATGGAGCTGCAAGTGAAAGAAATTGTGTATTGAAAAATTATATTAATGTTATAAAAATGTCATAGGAATTTAACACACCATCAAAAGATACTTTTTTAATGTCATTAACATTAAACATTTATTCATTTGTAATGTGTTTATAATACAATACTTAAAGTAATGATGCACTTTAAATCTTCTTTAACATCTACAGTTGATATTTAGAAGGAGGTACTGATGAGATTTGGGTACACTGAAGAACATATTTGATACTCCAAAATGTGACTCAGCACTTTAATTGTTAAATGGTGGGAGTGAAAATTAAACTAACTTAATTTCACATTCTTGTGACAGTGTGTTGGTGTTAAAAAAACTTTTTTTTCTGTTATAAATGAGAATGACTTGACACATGGAACTCTACTAATGATGTTTAAATGTTCAGTAACTGTAAGGAGAAACATTCAGGTCAAGATGATTAATGTAGAAGCTAAAGCGCCCTAACATCCAGACACAAAGAACTTTGTTCAACACATTCAATACAAACTATATATGTAGTCCTAAACCATCGGTAACTTTTAGATGAAAAACTGAAATAATATCTTCTCACTGAAAGATTTACAGCTCACACCGACTCACGCTGAACCCAACTCCCTATAAAATCAGATCATTCACACTCAGGAGTTCAGGGAACTCGACTTTACTTTTGGATGGTATATTGTTGACCTGAGTTACGCGTTTTCATTTAAGTGTATGTTGAATGTTCAGGTTTTAATAACTGCATGATGGGAGCAGACACTTTGGGGAAACATTAACACATAATATGCATTTATTTTCTCCTTTTCATCACATTTTCTTCCAAATCTAAAGACGCTGTACCAATATTCAACAGAGGCGAAAAGGGTAACTTGATTATAGCACATTTTGCAGCTCTCACAGTCTGAAACATGCCGGTTAAATAGCTTTAGTCAAATCTCTTCTCATTCAGTTGCAGCAGACTCTATTGTAACAATGTTGTGGTATTCCCAAGGTTTACACAGTTTGAATTTGGTTTGGATGAAAAAATATTCATTTCTGAAATCTGGAACTATCCTTCCTTTTTGGATTAGGTAATATGCCAATGTTTAATGTTACCCTGAATGTCAAAAATAGATTTAATAGGGAAAATTCCTCTTCGGACTTTGTCTGCTGGTTTTGCCTGTGAAAGAACCTGAAGTACAGAGAGCAGGCGTTCTCATCATGATTCTGTCTTTTCTTTATCTTTATCTTCCTCCGCTTTGGCTTACAGTTCAAAATAAAGTTAGAGAAATTGGGACTATAGTGCAGACTCATACACACTGAGAGGATCACACATCCTGTCTTTGAATAGCATGAAAAGCTGTGATGGGGTTCATTTCTCAGAAGATGCTTAGACATGGTCACAAATAAACTGGATGGAGTTTAGTTTAGTTTTAATGAGTCAGATTTGTTGTGGTGTTACCACAGTTCCATCTGAGATGCTCAATCATCGGCTATTTTCTGTGTTCAGCTTTTTAGCTGTTTGAGCTGACTGAAAATAACACTGTACAGTATTGTTTGTTTGTTGCATAGTTTGTTTGTTTGTGGATGACGTTGACATTTAAAACTACATCTATGCATTCAATATGACCTATGATAAATTCGATAACACGCAAAAAGTAATGTGCGATCTTCTTTTTTATTTATTAGTTTAATCCTTGGCCTCAATTTATAATTGAAGTCCAGTCCACGTTTACTCATAATTTTTGGAGGAATGTGTAGTAATGTAAAAAACAAAAGCAGATCAGTGCATATCAAACAGCTTGTTGAATAACTCATTTTATATTCTACAATACACAATAACAGTTTTTTTTGCCATGTCTCCAGACATGTCAAAGGTGATAACTGTCAAAGACAATATGGTCTCACCAACAAAAAGCTTATTTTCAAAGAATAATTACTTTAAAAACTGCTATATCTTGGCATAGTGGGCAGAAGAAATTGTGCAAGTATGAAATTAAATACGATATATTGGTTAATAAAAGATATAGCTAACAGAATCTGAAACAAACATTTATATTAAACTATTTTCCTGATAGTTTATCATGTTACGAGGATTGGTACAGAACTGTTCTTCAAAACTTTGATTCTTTTTATATGTATTCAATCTTTAAACAGATCACTCAATGGCAATAACAGATTGAAATGGTACTTATTTGATGGAAAGCAAGGTTGTAGACCCAACGGAGGTCAGTGAGACCAAACCTGCTTATCAAAAAGGAAATATGAGCACTTTGTGTAGGTATGAGTGCATGTGAAGACTTTATTCCTGCATTTTTATGTCAACGAGCAGCTGTGATAATAAAAATGTGGTTGCCATGAGAGCTAATTCATTAAATATGCATGCTGCTACCTTTGCTGTTCAACAGAAGGATATTTTCTAGTCACTAAACATAGAGACTAATGTAGGTGAGAGATGCTTTACAAACTAGAAGCGGGACCACTTAAGCTTCTTTTGCATGGCCAAATTACCATGAGGTATGACAAAGAGCCAATTGAATTAATGAGCTTATTTAAATGTTCTCTAAATGGATTTGTGCATATTTAAGAGAGGTTGTGCCAGTTAAAGGTTATAACTGTGGGCAGAACCTCCAACATAATCAGGAAGTGTCCTAACGAAGTACGTGGAATTTTGTAGTCACTGCATTTCCAAAAATGTATCCTGTTACTCATGCATATTCTGTGATAGTACAAAGAAACCTTGAAGGAATATTCATTAAACCTGAATCCCTGGAGGTTTGTCTGGCCCTTAAACACGTTCCTACCAGCTAAGAGTACTTCATCCATGTTGTCATCTTTCCAGATCAGCCCACCAAGTTCAGGTATAAACAGCATTATGTTTCCAGCCAGGAGTCAAGTTAAGATTAAAAGTGGGGAAAAAAATCTGTAAATGGTCTTTATGTTTAATCTATATACATCCAATTCAAGGACATCTTTTCCTTTTTACAAAAAAAAAGTGGCACAACTAAGTTAAAACATTTATTTTTACCTTCGAAAGATCTTCCTTTACAGAAAATGTAAAAACATCATTGTTAATGGTAAAAGTTGTTAATTTGAAACTTTCATTTTTGTATAAAAAAACATTTATTGTACATTTGATAGAGTGGGGAAAAAAGTTTTTAATGAAGTTAATCACAGAGTTCTGTTCTGTGAGATGGAAGATACTCCATGAATGACTACAGTGGGAGGAGAATTCTCAATTTACATGACCAAATTATAATCTATCACATAACTATGACTTAAACTAGACCAGTCCCTTTAATCCCAATAATCTACAGCATAACATTGTAATTGCTCGTATCAAATGCAGCATTTAGCCCCAAAGTTACCAGAACAGACACAAGTCATAAGGCTCAGAGCAAATCATTGGTAACTTTCACCTGCTTTCACTTTCACCTGAGCTATTTGAAATTTTCCTGAAAAGTCTGTGATTAAGTCAAAAACACAAGTCCATGGTTTTAAATAGGCCATTTTTGTGAGTTTAGAGAGATAAACTGAACATAAATAGTTGCAAATAAGATTCTAAAGATACTTTTTGTTTAAGTATTTGGTGATAGCTCAGTGTTAATGGTGGAATATATCCCATTAATCTTTTCTCTGATAGAAACAACGTTTTTGATAAAGAAGCTCTTGAAAAGTTTCCTGGGCAATGTAAGCAGTTTGTATAACACATACTATGTACAGAAAGCGCTTGCTTAAAAGATTTAAAAGGAGAAATGCAGAGAAACAGTAAGAGTAGAAATAGCAGAAATTAGGTTAGGATAAAAAGGAATAAAGTTATTGATCAAGTAGATCAAAGTGAAGAGTGCAGATAGAATACCTTCAGTTATACACACAGCTAAAAATAAATATTTTCAGCCTCGATTTAAACATCAGAGTTTAGGCCTGTGTCGCTCCTTCAGGAAGACTGTTCCAGATTTTACTGTCACTACAGAGATTTAGAGGAAAATATGGCTCAGCAGAGCTAAAACCAATCAAAGATGTTTGGTGTGAGGGTGCAACATCACCAGCCCACATCCTACGTGTTATTGTGCGACATTTTTCATGAGTGGGTAAAGAGTTGGAGCAGAGGCTATAAGAACACACAAAAACAGAAAATACAAGAAACCCCTTTATTTAAAAATCACAGAAACTTTTACTGACCAAAATTTGGTCAACCAACAATACTGGGGGCGAAAGAGTTGTTGTTCAAGGTGGAAGTGTGCTAAATGAATAAAACTGAATTTCCCTTCACACAGTGGGATCTCTGAAACCAGACTACTGGGGAGGGGCTATATTTCTCACTATAGATTTGCATGGTGAGAAACGCGCGGGAGGCGTGGATATCTACACAAATGTTAGGGTTCTCCCCAGCAGAGAGACTGTTGGCATGTACCAAACCACAGCTCAAATCATCTGCTCTGTTTGGGGTCTCTGGGGTGAAGTGAGGAAAAGGTTGGAGACAGAGATGGACAAACAGATTGGGCTTTTTCAACAATAAATTATGCTCCTGGAGTGAAGATGGAGAATAAATGCAATGTGAATTTACTGGTCAATCTTCGTTCCAATCTCCCCT